CAAACGTATTGTGCAAACATTAACTTGTTCAAAATACTATGTAGCTCCCAGTTGCTCATGTAGTGGATAGTTAAGCTCAAATATGGCTCTGATGTGCGGCTGGACCAGAGATCGCTTGTGGTAGCAAAAAACAGCGCATTCTGAATATTTTCTGCAACACGTCTCTAAATAAAGTAAAATTTTCCAGTGCAGGTTGGAGACAACCCATAGAAGCACTGATTTGATCTCATTTCAGAGAAAAATAGAACAGGTTAGATGCACCTAATAAATAAAATTACTAACAAACTCAGGATTCTTTCTTTGCTTCACTGTTCTGGTGCTGAGAACATCACTAATGTGGATCAAAGGAGATACACAGATGAATGCACCTCTTATTATTTGGAGACTACATTTACTGCAGCTGGCAGAGGCAGAGATTGTTTCTATTGATACACGGATTTACAGAATCATTTTAAATGTTAATAGGGGAAGACTGCAGGAGGGAGCGGTAAAATACAGGGGTCCCAGCAAAAACAAGAAACTACGAGTCTGATGAAACCCGCTGGTTTTCCATCAGGCAGTCACGGGGCAGCTCCAGCGACCGAGCTCAGTCCGGTACCGACACCGGCTCGGCAGAGGGTGAACGAGCCGAGGCGGCGTCGTGCTCTGCTTAAGAAGCTGTGTTATTTTCCTGCTTCAGAAGAAGCGTCCAACGTGTTTTTACGCTTTCTCCGAGACATGTCACGTCGCTAAGTTGTTAGCGCCGCGCGCTAAGGAAAACCTGCGTTCCTCTTCGGAACGAAAACCTCGTTGTCGCTCAGCCGCGGCGAAGCCATGTTTGTTCACACACAAATGAAAACAAGCGGGGCACTAATATATTACTATGACTCACTCTGATTGGTTAAGGGTCAAACAAAGGCATGTCATTCGCCTGGGGTAAGTTCCCTTTTCATTCAGAGGCAGAAATTCAACAGCAGAGCTGTGAATCGTAATAAAACGGTCTCTCAAAAATGACAGACCGTCAGATGTGTAGATCGTAAAACGGTCTAAAATCGTCATATCGCCCAGCCCTAATACTGATAAAGTCATTATAGTGGGGGATTTTAACATTCATGTGGACATTGAAAATGATAGCCTCAATGTAGCCTTTAGTAATATCCTAGACTCAATTGGTTTTACTCAAAGAATACATAGCTCCACCCACTCCTGCCATCGTACATTGGACCTGACTTATGGCATAGAGTGTGAGGAAATAACGATCTTTCCACATAATCCAGTCCTCTTGGACCACTTTCTGATAACCTTTGAGTTTTTTTACAACTGAGTTCTCGAGACATTAAAGTAAATTTCGCTATAGTCGGTCTCTATGTGAAATCGCTGTTGCGTCTTTTAAATCAACTGTTCCATCTTTACGGTCTTCAGCATCTCAGAGGAATGTAGCAGAGGGCAATAATTTTTATTTCTAGTTGTCGGAGTGGCCAATCCGTAACTTTCCTCTTCAGCCAAAAGAACCAACGACAAGCTGGATAAAATCTGTTGCTGTTCAAACTGCCGCAACGGTTCCTTTCAGAATAAAAGCTGAACCATCACGACCCAGGTTTGGGTCTCACTAAATGCCAACAAAACCGTCGTGACCCAGAAGTATCTCACAGACTGGTCTGGTCGGCATCCGCTGCTTTTCCTACCGGCTTCGGTTCCAGAGAGGGTCCAGCTGGACCTCGACATTCCTGATCTAGACGGGGACTTCCAACAGGGTGTGTAGGCCGACGGAATGGCGTCAAATGTGTTTATGAATCTCCTGACCAAAGCTTAGCGCGAAGACATCTCCTTCATTTACCATCAGAACTAATCTCTTCTTCGGATTTGCTGGTTCTGAGCAACATTCCACATCACACCATTCTCCGTCTCATTCACCTTAGTTACACCTAGCGATGGGTACCGAATTTGGTACTTTTTAAGGTACCAACCGAATTCCATAGTACCGACTGAGCACCGATTCACGTCTTTTGAAATGGTGCCTCGTTTCGGTACCTGTCCTTCATAATGAGAACTTGCCTAGACAGCTGCGCATGCGCAAGAGCGTTATGTCGTCGGTCGCTGCGAGCGTGTTGTAAACAGAGCAACACGGTAGAAAGAACGCACGCTAACGCTTGGGTCCACTTCACTAAATGTGATGGGTAACTGGGTGAAGATGAAACCAGTGACAATGATCTAAGTGTGAGGCATCATCGTTTTAATCTGCTCCAGCAGCTAAATAAACTGTTTAAGATAACGTTAGCTTGATAAATAAGCTTCCATTGCCACCATTGTTATCATCTAATGGTGCGTTTGCATTCTCCTTGGAAATTCTAGCTTCCCAGTAGGAAAAATCAAATGAAAAAGGACGGTAAAAGGAATGAAGATACACAGTAAATTTAGTTCACAGTAAAGATGTTTGCTTCAGTTTAATTATCAGCTTATAAAACTACAAGGACGATGTTAAAATACAAACAGTTGTATGTTATTTATCGTGATATTTATCAAATATGGTTATATATTGAGAAAAATATATATTTAATTAAAATATTAAACACTCAAAAGTATCAAAAATTGGTACCGTTAAGTACCGGTATCGATTCCTAGGTACCGGGAATTAGTACCGAATCGATTCAAATGTCAAAGGTACCCATTCCTAGTTACACCATACATTTAGTGTTAAAGTCAGTCTAGTTAAATTTGTTTAGTAAGAAATCTTTAAACTTTTAAACTTGACTCTCTCTTCTGTTGTCTCTGACTGAATACGAAGCTGTTATCTAATCTCTGCAATAAAAAGTTCCAGTCTTCTGGTTAAACAGTACCCACGGATCCATAAGGTTGATTTCATATTTACTAATCCTACATCTTATGGCTTATTAAATAACATGTAATTTAAATCATTACATCTTTGAAAAGATTTTGTCAATCGCCATGTTTAATAATTTCCGGTTTCCAGAAAAAATGCAGAGTGCGCCATGCACAGGCAGACAGGACGGAGAGCCTCGGGAAAAGCAGGGAGGGAGAGGAGGAAAAAAAGCGTCTGTACTCTCCAAGAGCCGGAAGAAGAGTAATCGCTCAGGCCAAACATTAGGCTCCTCTCTTGTGGAACCACCTCCCAGCTTTAGTCTGTGAGGCAGACACCTTGTCTACTTTTAAGACTAGGCTTAAAACATGTTTATGACCACTGACCACTTTCCACACTTGACTACTTTCTTCTACAATCTGCTCTTTAACTGTATTATTTCCTGCTATTTCAGCTGTTAACTTTATTTTTTCTCTAAGTGTTTTTCTCCCCAGAAGAAGCTACATTGATGTTCTGCTGAGCTGTGGTGGCCTCATGGAGGGGGACATCGTCTAGCACACTGCTGCTAACCACTTAAACATTCCCCCTCTCCTGATAACATTTTACTCTCTTTGACACTGAATGTGCTACTACTAGTTTACCCGTTTAATTATAGATTCACTAGAATAAATACAATAAAGTTTATCTCTCACCAAACAGAATATTTACTAAGAAATCACAACCTCTGTGTGTGTGTGTGTGTGTGTGTGTGTGTGTGTGTGTGTGTGTGTGTGTGTGTGTGTGTGTGTGTGTGTGTGTGTGTGTGTGTGTGTGTGTGTGTGTGTGTGTGTGTGTGTGTGTGTGTGTGTGTGTGTGTGTGTGTGTGTGTGTGTGTGTGTGTGTGTGTGTGTGTGTCTGCTCTGTCTTCTCCATCCCCAGTGAGTCGTGGAGGATGGCTGCTTATACTGAGCCAGGATCCTCTGGAGGTTTCTTCCTGTTAAAAGGGAGTTTTCCTCTCCACTGTCGCTGCATGCTTGCTTAGTATGAGGATTGCTGTAAAGACTCTGACACTAGTCAGTGACTTGATGCGACCTGCTGGGTTCCTTATATAGTAAACTGTTTACTGATTGGCTTAATGAACTGACCTGTACTGGAATGTTTACTGTGTGAAGGTCTTTGAGACGACTCTTGTCCTGATTTGGTGCTTTATAAACTTGAATTGAACACAGTTGAGCTATTTAATTATTTAACACCAGACTGAATTGAATCGTGATTAATTGTGATTCAGAGCCTTATGAATCAAAATCGAATTGATTTAGGAAATTGCCACAATACCAAGGACTATCGGGTGCAGTGAGACAGGTGGTGGCCAAAGGCAGGGACCTTGGCGGTCTGATCATCGGCTACAGAAGCTGGTACTCGGTACGTGGAACAGTGTTACCTCCCTGGTGGGGGAGGAGCCTGGGTTGGTATGCGAGGTTGAGAGGTTCCGGCTAGATTTAGTCGGATTCACCTCGACGCATGGGCTGGAAACTCTACCACTCGGGAATTGCCCCGTCTGGGGTCGCCAAGCAAGGGTGGGCATGCTAGTTGCCCCCATTTTGGTGCCCGTATGTTGGGGTTTACCCCGGTGAACGAGAGGGTAGCCTCCCTCCGACTATGTGTGTGGAGATGGGTCCTCCTGACTGTGGTTTGTACTTACGCACCAAACTACAGTTCAGACTACCCACCCTTTTTGGAGTCCATGAGGGGGTGCTGCAGAGAAGTCAGTGGCTCCGGCATCTGGTAAGGATGCCCCCTGGATGCCTTCCTGGTGAGGTTTTCCTGGTACGTCCAACCGGGAGAAGAACTAAAGGAAGACCCAGGACACTTTGTAGGGACTATGTCCCTCGGCTGGCCAGGGAACTCCGTAGGATTCCCCCGATGAAGCTAGCTGGGGAGAGGGAAGTTTGGGCCTCTCTGCCTATGGCTGCTGGCCCTGCAACCCGGCCCAGGATAAGCAGAAGAGAATGGATGGATATCCTTTCAGGATTCCCAGGATGCTGTTCTGTACCTATTTGTTAAGGGTGCTTATAGAGGCTTTTATTTTGACAGTCAGCAGGTTTCTAATGCTGCTTTCCTGTCTTGTTGTGTCACTGCAGGAGAAAACAGAGCTTTCTGGTTGGCTGGTCAGTAGAACCGGACTGGGTGTTAGCGGGTCAGTTTGGGTCATGATGTTCTGTACCTTGAACGACCCATTTGTGTAGGTCTGTATCATGTTCTCGGCTCCTTGTTTAACCTTCATCTCCATGGTGAGTTGCTTCTTCAGAGTTCTGACCCGTCGGGCCAACAGAGACGTGGCCTCCTCCCGCTGACAGGACTCTGGGGACATTTGGCCCTCCTCCATGAGACCTGCGTAGATACAGGTATCCTTAAAATGCACATGAAAAACATTTCAATCCTGGGTGAGAACCAGAGTTGTGATTGATGAGGGAATCTTCTCCGAACCATCTAACAGTGACGCTAACAGGACCTGCTCAGAAATCCAACTATGACATCAGTTAGAACCAAAGGCAAGCAGGCTGAAACAAATCAGAACCAGATTCAGCCATCATCCACATCATCCATTCATCCAACTATCCATCTATCATCCCTCAATAGTCCATCTATCCATCCATCATCCATCTATAATCCATCTATCCATTCATCATCCACCAATAATCCATCTATCCATCTATCATCCCTCAATAGTCCATCTATCCATCCATCATCCACCAATAATCCATCTATCATCCCTCAATAGTCCATCTATCCATCCATCATCCATCTATAATCCATCTATCCATCCATCATCCCTCAATAGTCCATCTATCCAACCATCATCTATCTATAATCCATCTATCCATCTATCATCCCTCAATAGTCCATCTATCCATCCATCATCCACCAATAATCCATCTATCAATCTATCATCCCTCAATAGTCCATCTATCCATCCATCATCCATCTATCCATCCACCATCCCTCAATAGTCCATCTATCCATCCATCATCCACCAATAATCCATCTATCCATCTATCATCCCTCAATAGTCCATCTATCCATCCATCATCCCTCAATAGTCCATCTATCCATCCATCATCCACCAATAATCCATCTATCCATCTATCATCCCTCAATAGTCCATCTATCCATCCATCATCCATCTAATCCATCTATCCATCGATCATCCCTCAATAGTCCATCTATCCATCCATCATCCATCTATAATCTATCCATCTATCCATCCACCATCCATCTATAATCCATCTATCCATCCATCATCCATCTATAATCCATCTATCCACCCATCATCCATCTATAATCCATCTATCCATCCACCATCCATCTATAATCCATCTATCCATCCACCATCTATCTATAATCCATCAATCCATCCATCATCCATCTATCCATCCATCATCCATCTATCCATCCATCATCCATCTATAATCCATCTATCCATCCATCATCCATCTATAATCCATCTATCCATCCATCATCCATCTATCCATCCATCATCCATCTATCCATCCATCATCCATCTATAATCCATCTATCCATCCATCATACATCTATCCATCCATCTATCCATCCATCCATCCATCCATCATCCATCTATAATACATCTATCCATCCATCATCCATCTATAATCCATCTATCCATCCATCATCCATCTATCATCCATCTATCCATCCATCATCCATCTATCCATCCATCATCCACCTATAATCCATCTATCCATCCATCATCCATCTATAATCCATCTATCCATCCATCATCCTTCTATAATCCATCTATCCATCCATCATCCATCTATCCATACATCTATCCATCCATCCATCATCCATCTATAATCCATCTATCCATCCATCATCCATATATCCATACATCTATCCATCCATCATCCATCTATAATCCATCTATCCATCCATCATCCACCTATAATCCATCTATCCATCCATCATCCATCTATAATCCATCTATCCATCCATCATCCTTCTATAATCCATCTATCCATCCATCATCCATCTATCCATCCATCCATCATCCATCTATCCATCCATCATCCATCTATAATCCATCTATCCATCCATCATCCATCTATAATCCATCTATCCATCCATCATCCATCTATCCATCCATCATCCATCTATCCATCTATCCATCCATCATCCATCTATAATCCATCTATCCATCCATCATCCATCTAGCCATCCATCTATCCATCCATCATCCATCTATCCATTTATAATCCATCTATCCATCTATCCATCCATCATCCATCTATAATCCATCTATAGTCCATCTATCCATCTATAATCCATCATCCATCTATCTATCCATCATCCATCTATAATCCATCTATCCATCCATCATCTATAATCCATCATCCATCCATAATCCATCTATCCATCCATCATTCATCTATAATCCACCTATCCATCCATCATCTATAATCCATCATCCATCCATAATCCATCTATCCATCCATCATCCATCTATAATCCATCATCCATCCATCATCCATCTATCCATCTATAATCCATCTATCCATCCATAATCCACCTATCCATCCATCATCCATCTATAATCCACCTATCCATCCATCATCCATCTATAATCCATCATCCATCCATAATCCATCTATCCATCCATCATCCATCTATAATCCATGTATCCATCCATCATCCATCCATAATCCATCTATCCATCCATCATCCATCTATAATCCATCATCCATCCATAATCCATCTATCCATCCATCATCCATCTATAATCCATCATCCATCCATCATCCATCTATAGTCCATCTATCCATCCATCATCCATCTATAATCCATCTATCCATCTATAATCCATCTATCCATCCATCATCCATCTATAATCCATCTATCCATCCACCATCCCTCAATAGTCCATCTGTCCATCCAAAATCTATCCATCTATCCATCCATCATCAATCTATAATCTATCCTTCTATCCATCCACCATCCCTCAATAGTGCATCTATCCATCCATCATCCATCTATAATCCATCTAACCATCCATCATCCATCTATCCATCTATAATCCATCTATCCATTCATCATCCGTCTATAATCCATCTAACATCCATCATCCATCTATCCATCTATAATCCATCTATCCATCCATCATCTGTCTATAATCCATCTAACATCCATCATCCATCTATCCATCTATAATCCATCTATCCATCCACCATCCCTCAATAGTCCATCTATCCATCCATCATCCATCTATCCATCTATCCTTCCATCATCCCTCAATAGTCCATCTATCCATCCATCATCCATCTATAATCCATCTATCCATCCACCATCCCTCAATAGTGCATCTATCCATCCATCATCCATCTATAATCCATCTAACCATCCATCATCCATCTATCCATCTATAATCCATCTATCCATCCATCATCCATCTATAATCCATCTAACATCCATCATCCATCTATCCATCTATAATCCATCTATCCATCCATCATCCGTCTATAATCCATCTAACATCCATCATCCATCTATCCATCTATAATCCATCTATCCATCCACCATCCCTCAATAGTCCATCTATCCATCCATCATCCATCTATCCATCTATCCTTCCATCATCCCTCAATAGTCCATCTGTCCATCCATCATCCATCCATAATCTATCCATCTATCCATCCATCATCAATCTATAATCTATCCTTCTATCCATCCACCATCCCTCAATAGTCCATCTATCCATCCATCATCCATCTATAATCCATCTAACCATCCATCATCCATCTATCCATCTATAATCCATCTATCCATCCATCATCCGTCTATAATCCATCTAACATCCATCATCCATCTATCCATCTATAATCCATCTATCCATCCATCATCCGTCTATAATCCATCTAACATCCATCATCCATCTATCCATCTATAATCCATCTATCCATCCATCATCCGTCTATAATCCATCTAACATCCATCATCCATCTATCCATCTATAATCCATCTATCCATCCACCATCCCTCAACAGTCCATCTATCCATCCATCATCCATCTATCCATCTATCCTTCCATCATCCCTCAATAGTCCATCTGTCCATCCATCATCCATCCATAATCTATCCATCTATCCATCCATCATCAATCTAAAATCTATCCTTCTATCCATCCACCATCCCTCAATAGTCCATCTATCCATCCATCATCCATCTATAATCCATCTAACCATCCATCATCCATCTATCCATCTATAATCCATCTATCCATCCATCATCCGTCTATAATCCATCTAACCATCCATCATCCATCTATCCATCTATAATCCATCTATCCATCCATCATCAATATATAATCTATCCATCTATCCATCCACCATCCCTCAATAGTCCATCTATCCATCCATCATCCATCTATCCATCTATCCATCCATCATCCCTCAATAGTCCATCTATCCATCCATCATCCATCTATAATCCATCTATCCATCCACCATCCATCTATAATCCATCTGTCCATCCATCATCCATCCATAATCTATCCATCTATCCATCCATCATCAATCTATAATCCATCCACCATCCCTCAATAGTCCATCTATCCATCCATCATCCATCGATAATCCATCTAACCATCCATCATCCATCTATCCATCTATAATCCATCTATCCATCCATCATCCGTCTATAATCCATCTGTCCATCCATCATCAATCTATCCATCTATAATCCATCTATCCATCCATCATCCATCGATAATCCATCTAACCATCCATCATCCATCTATCCATCTATAATCCATCTATCCATCCATCATCCGTCTATAATCCATCTAACCATCCATCATCAATCTATCCATCTATAATCCATCTATCCATCCATCATCAATCTATAATCTATCCATCTATCCATCCACCATCCCTCAATAGTCCATCTATCCATCCATCATCCATCTATCCATCTATCCATCCATCATCCCTCAATAGTCCATCTATCCATCCATCATCCATCTATAATCCATCTAACCATCCATCATCCATCTATCCATCTATAATCCATCTATCCATCCACCATCCATCTATAATCCATCTGTCCATCCATCATCCATCCATAATCTATCCATCTATCCATCCATCATCAATCTATAATCCATCCACCATCCCTCAATAGTCCATCTATCCATCCATCATCCATCGATAATCCATCTAACCATCCATCATCCATCTATCCATCTATAATCCATCTATCCATCCATCATCCGTCTATAATCCATCTAACCATCCATCATCCATCTATCCATCTATAATCCATCTATCCATCCATCATCAATCTATAATCTATCCATCTATCCATCCACCATCCCTCAATAGTCCATCTATCCATCCATCATCCATCTATCCATCTATCCATCCATCATCCCTCAATAGTCCATCTATCCATCCATCATCCATCTATAATCCATCTATCCATCAATCATCCATCTATAATCTATCCTTCTATCCATCCACCATCCCTCAATAGTCCATCTATCCATCCATCATCCATCTATAATCCATCTAACCATCCATCATCCATCTATCCATCTATAATCCATCTATCCATCCATCATCCATCTATCCATCTATAATCCATCTATCCATCCATCATCCGTCTATAATCCATCTAACCATCCATCATCCATCTATCCATCTATAATCCATCTATCCATCCATCATCCGTCTATAATCCATCTAACCATCCATCATCCATCTATAATCCATCTATCCATCCATCATCCATCTATAATCTATCCTTCTATCCATCCACCATCCCTCAATAGTCCATCTATCCATCCATCATCCATCTATAATCCATCTAACCATCCATCATCCATCTATCCATCTATAATCCATCTATCCATCCATCATCCATCTATCCATCTATAATCCATCTATCCATCCATCATCCGTCTATAATCCATCTAACCATCCATCATCCATCTATCCATCTATAATCCATCTATCCATCCATCATCCGTCTATAAACCATCTAACCATCCATCATCCATCTATAATCCATCTATCTATCCATCCATCATCAATCTATAATCTATCCATCTATCCATCCACCATCCCTCAATAGTCCATCTATCCATCCATCATCCATCTATAATCCATCTATCCATCCATCATCCATCTATAATCCATCTATCCATCCATCATCCATCTATAATCCATCTATCCATCCATCATCCATCTATAATCCATCTATCCATCCATAATCCATCTATAATCCATCCAGCTGCTGAATTAAGTCAAAAGCACAAACTCAGACGTTTTGGTCCTTTAAAGAAAAAAACAGCCAGAATATAAAGAGAACATCTTTGGACCTTCAAAAGGTCTGGAGAACTCATTCAGAACTACTTCAGATCCCCATGGACCTCAGCCTGCTTCATCAGATAGTCTTACCTGTCGTTCCATCTCTCTCTGGAACCATGGACCTGGCGTTTAACTCCTGGAGTTCCCAATGTAGCTGGTCCAGTTTTCGGCTGGAGGCCTTCAGTTGACCCTCAACATCTGCAGCGCTCTTCCTGTTGGTGACAGCATCCCTCATCCTCTCAGCTGCCTCCTTGATCTTTAGTTCACGTTGTATCTCTTGCTTGAGCTGTGCTCGGGCATTTTCCAAACGTTGCTGGAAATCTGGGTCGAGGATATCAGACTGGTCCAGCTGCTTCAGTTTCGCCGTCTGCCAGATGGAGATTAGAATTAGAAAAGTTGCTTCAGTTCTCCAAACACAAGAACACAAATCAGCTATTCTGTCAAACATCTGGCATCCTCGGACAGTCCGCATCAAGAAAACCGACCGGAGCTGAGGACAGAGCTGCCACCGCCGATGGGATCAGATCAGAATTCTAGTCATTTGGTTCTGATCGGGTTCAGATGTTTATAATGACATCAGGGGTTTTCGGTCTTCTGATTGGACTGTCAGAGCAAAGCTCTCACCAACCAGTTTTAGTCTGTCCTCAGTAATCCGGACCTTAATCCTGTTGAATATTATTTTATGCCCACAATGCGGACAGAGAAGGAGAAATGGATCTGGTTTCAGGAGCTGGCTGGCCGTGCTAGCTTGTAGATGGATGGGCTCTAAAGTCACGGAGGTCTTCCTGAGAGAAGATGGATGAATGATCAACAACTCCAGTGAGTACTTCGTATTTCATCTACATGTGTAAATCAGTAACAAGTTTCCTATATAAGGAACCTAGCAGGTCGCATCGAGTCACTGACTAGTGTCAGAGTCTTTACAGCAATCCTCATACTAAGCAAGTGTAACAATGGGAAAGGCCAACAAGGTTATGTGTCCACAGCAAGGTCAGAGGTCAAAGAGACGCTGGGGTGTCCAGCAGCTTCCTCTGCTAGGAACGTTGTTCTTCCCTAACCACAACAATTCCAGGCTTAACCATCCCTGGCAGCACCATCAGAAACCAAAATAATCTCCCATGTTTACACGAAGCTGCAACTCCAAGGTCCACTCAGAAGACGAGACTTTTCTCTCCTTATAAAATTATTATTTTGGTCTCAGAAAATTATTTATTTCAATCCACAGGTTTCCTATTCTGTTGTCTACCATGAATGTTCTATCTTAAGTCAGTTATTAATTAATTCATCAACATAAATGTTTATTATTTCAGATCTTAAATACACTAAATGAGTCTACTTGGTGATTTAATAATGATTAATTATCAGCCGCATATTAATATCAGTGGATTAACAGACCTGCTCCATATATTAAGTGAAATTAGCTTTCTAAGAAAGGGCCGAGGGTCTTGGTAAACACCTAGACACATGTCTCACATCTGATTGGTCAACATTAATAAATAACCATTTCATCAAAGGTGAATCACTTCCTACTTTAGCCCGCTCTACCAGAGCTCTGAGTTCAGCCAAAGCTCACAGCTCGTGCTAAATGACCATCCTGGGGAATCTAACCAGATGTTTCAGTGGAATAACTTCTGCAGCGCATGAACCCTCCTTATGAATCAACTATTATTATTTACTCAACCCACCACCCACTCATCAGACGTGAAACCGTCCATCAAACCAACCATCGTGTTTGCTGAGGGTGTCTACGACCTTCAGATGCATCAGAAGTCCACTCACTGGCTCTGAGACGGCTTCACCTGCAGACCGGATCTCCAGAACTTCATGATCCAGGGTGTGTAGACTAAACAATGGTGTCAGAGTGGTTGGTATTAATCTGATAACTTGTTAAATTACAGCCAACAAACATCCAGATTATTTCTGGAGGAGAGCGCCTGGTCACACACACTCTGCTGCTTCTTGCACCGTTTAGTCTCTTTGAACCTGGAAGCCCCACCTTGACCTAAGGGTTTGAATTCTGCACAGATGCTTCTGATCCTTACACCAGCCTCCTGGTTATGGCCTTCTATGTGCTCCTATGGTTTGGTCACACCAGCTGGTCAGTGGTACATCCTGTGATTTCCTCCATGATGGCTCCATCGGCTCCTCATCGACTCCCTGATGTGGTCTTGGAGCGCAGATGTTTCAGCTTAGATAGAAGCTCCGTTGCTACTTCCCCCTGTGTACTCGGTGTGTGTACACACACACACACAGGAAATCATTCCTCCTCAGGTGTTTAGGGGCGTGTCAGCAGCAGCTGATCCAGGTCTGATTCTTCTCTTCAGACTTTCTTTAATCCTGATTTTTAATCCGGATGAGCTGTGAGTTTCTGACGTTTTATAAAAACATTCCTGATTTTTGACGTTTGGATGAAACAACCTGATGTATGACGTCATGCAACGAACCCATTCATCTGGTGTTGTCCTTCACCAGACCGGAACTGGTGACACAAACCTGGGGTCTGCAGTTGTGTTAACAACCGGAACCGGAACCGCTGGAGTGAACCAGGCCGAACCGCGGAGCAGGTTTCGGTCCGGATCGAAACAGAACAAACCGGGCAGACAGGTAAATCCGGATCCGAGCGCCGCAGCTTTGCGCTTTTATTACGTGCGCGTAGAGAGAGGAGCACGGACTCACCTGTGGTGTCGAACCGGACATCCTGACTGGTTCGGAGAGCCGCTCCGGACCGAAACCACCTGCTCAGGTGAAGCTGGTGCAGCAGGTGACTCTTCCGGTCTCACTATGACAACAAATCTGATCAAACGTTTGAATCGAGTTGGTCACGAGCTGACGTCAGTAGGCGCAGATTGGCTGACGGGAATACGGTAGGAGCCAATCAGGGTTCAGTGTCAAGGTGAGTTAGAACATTCCAGCAGCTTCCTCCTACCTGAGGCTGACTCACCTGAGTTCCCACCTTACAGGTTTCTAAACAAAGGTGAGAAGGGACCTGCGGGTGGTGATGGCCCACTGGTTCATCTGCTGGTGGAGCTGCATCTTCACAGCTCAGTCCAACCTGTAGGTGCTGCGCCGGAGCCTGGGACCCTCCAGGGCCTCTGGCCCCTTAGCTGATGTAGCTGGATTCAGAATGACGATGATAAAGGACCTGCTCTTGTACAGCAGAGCCAGAGGACTCCAAAGCACTTTACACTTCATAGTATCATTCATCCATTCACACACTGGTGGTGATGAGCTACAATGTAGCCACGGCTGCCCTGGGGCGCCACTGGTCCCTCCAACCAGCACCAGGGAGGATTAAGTGTCTTGCCCCAGCAGACTTCTTTGTTCGAAGCCGGGATCGAACCTGCAACCTTCAGTTACTGGACAACTGAGCTACTGCTGCCCCAGTCGAATGCAGGATGCTGCGGCCAGGCCCACCACTGGTGCATGTCCCTGGTCCTGGTCTCTCTGAGCTGGCTCCCTGTGCAGAGCCAGACTTGTGCTGTACCCCTCTTGTCAGTAGTCTCGGGGCAGCAGTAGTTTAACTCCCACTAGTCTTCACACCAGTGTGTGACATTTGTTCTCCACATCTGACCCACCCCCTGGGGGAGCGGTGAGCTGCAGACACAGCCGCGCTCAGGAACCTTTTGGTGGTCTAGGCCACCGTCCACAGCCAGCTTCATCAGTGTGCCAAAGGTTACCCGTCTTGTTTCCACAGCAGAAAACATGCTGCTTATGACCTCGCCACTGGGAGGGATGCCGTAATAAAATTTCATCTCCAGACTTCCTTACCTGCTAGAAGTCACACGACATCTCCTTCAGAAGACGAGACTTTTATACTTTAATTAAACCCAACCCCTTTTGAATTTGGAAAACAGATTGGAACAAATACATCAAAATGTAGAAAAGAACAAAGAAGTAGAATAATTTTATATTACTATAATAGATGAATGGATAGAAGGTCACTCTGGATTTTCCAACTTGAATTGTTGACTCAAGGAACAATTTTGCAGAGGTTTGAAACGGGTTGTGACACCAGAATCACCACGAGTCTTTAAGGGTTAAAATCATATTCTGCTTCATACAAAGAATGTTTTATGTAAATCTATTTATAAAGCACCAAATCACGCCAAAAGTCGTCTCAAGGACCTTCACACAGTAAACAACACAGGTCAGGTCATTAAGCCAATCAGTAACAAGTTTCCTATATAAGGAACCCAGCAGGTTGCATCGAGTCACTGACTAGTGTCAGAGTCTTTACAGCAATCCTCATACTAAGCAAGCATGTAGTGACAGTGGAGAGGAAAACTCCCTTTTAACAGGAAGAAACCTCCAGAGGACCCTGGCTCAGTATAAGCAGCCATCCACCACGACTCACACGGCCCACTGGACACACATGGAATAAAACACAGGACCTGTCTGGTCATTAGTGAAGTGTAAACATTTAGCAGACACCCAGTTTTTAACCTCATGGATGTGGTTTAGGAGAATCCAATGAATTAGGTAGGCCACGTTTAACAGGAATATAAATCTGGGTGTCATCTGCATATAAAGGGAAAGCACATCCATGTTTCATAAAAAGGGCCCAGCTCCAATCCTTGAGGAACCCCGCGTAAGAGAATAAGATGACGTGAAGCCACCATAGCTTAAGCATTCATGATCGGAGATATGTGATGTTAGCAACCTAAATGATTTATTTAAGTTTGGGGGGCCCTGCATGTATCAGTTTGTATCGGTATCGGAATCTAAAAGTTAGATCAGACTTCAGTAAGAAGGCCAATATCGAGCATCCCTACTCATTACAGTAACTAGTTCACTGCCGGGGATAATCTAGAACTTCATCCCAGTGGAAGAAACCACAAAGAAATCCCAGAAGCCGGAAGGACCAGGTCTGGGGTTTGGCATGAGCAGCTTGGTCATCCCAGGCTCTGAGTTCCTCAGACCTGAACCAGGGCAGAGAAAACCCAAGTCACTTCTTTTAATGGCAGAACTTTCATCCCTTTACAGATAACTGATAACTTATGATGTCCTCAGCTGGAGATCCTGGATCTATTTAAATATTCAACTAGTTTCAATGAAAAAACAAACAAAAGTTCAGGTAAAAATAAACTTTTTATTCTTTAGATTATTTTGAAAACAGCAGATTGTTACAGAAAATCATCATCAGTAAAACCGAACTTTATTTAGTTTATAAGAATCACCTTTACTGGACACACACACACACACACACACACACACACACACACACACACACACACACACACACACACACACACACACACACACACACACACACACACACACACAGCTTATCTTGACAGGTGTTTAATGGGCAGATCGACTGACATGAACGAGTCAGACGCCTTCCCTTAAGTCGTTGCCACGGTGATGAAACTTACTTCCTTGTTCATCTTTTAAAACTAAATTCACATTTCCTTGCTGTCAGGTGTTCATGGCTGATGTGCAAACAGACAGCAGGTCCGCAGGTAAAACGTTAAAACGAGGAGCAGCTGAGGGTCCACCTAAACATCAGCCTTCATCACAAAGTGTCCAAAGTTCTGATTCAGGATTGTTTTCACATTAAAGTACTGCACAGGTTCCAGCATGAATGACACTAAACCCAGGATTAAGTGAGACCACTTGAACATTAAAACATCACCACATTACACCACTAACCACCATCAGCCCGTCTCCTAGCAACCACGTCTTCATGTGCCAAAAAGCGGCCGCGGCCACTGGAAACCAGCACTGTACAACAACACAAACTAAAACAGTTAAAGGCAATAGCTGGTATCTTCATCCAAAGAGCCCTGGGATTAAAACTGTTCTGGTCCAACTGGAGCATACACTGCAGACCAGGAGCCTCTGTGGGACTTCATAGGTGCTGGTCCACGTGCAGCAGCGCTCTGAGGACCAAACCACAGCTCCTCGTGCTCCGTGACGCTACAAATCAAACATTTATCTGAACTGGTGTTATTTCAAGTTACTGGACTTCCTGTTAGCAGCTTAGGCTAGTCTGGACTTCCTGTTAGCATCTTAGGCTAGTCTGGACTTCCTGTCGGCGGCTTAAGCTAGTCTGGACTTCCTGTCGGCGGCTTAAGCTAGTCTGGACTTCCTGTCGGCAGCTTAAGCTAGTCTGGACTTCCTGTCGGCAGCTTAAGCTAGTCTGGACTTCCTGTCGGCGGCTTAAGCTAGTCTGGACTTCTTGTCGGCGGCTTAAGCTAGTCTGGACTTCCTGTCGGCGGCTTAAGCTAGTCTGGACTTCTTGTCGGCGGCTTAAGCTAGTCTGGACTTCTTGTCGGCGGCTTAAGCTAGTATGGACTTCCTGTCGGCGGCTTAAGCTAGTCTGGACTTCCTGTCGGCAGCTTAAGCTAGTCTGGACTTCCTGTCGGCAGCTTAAGCTAGTCTGGACTTCCTGTCGGCAGCTTAAGGTAGTCTGGACTTCCTGTCGGCAGCTTAAGCTAGTCTGGACTTCCTGTTGGCAGTTTAAGCTAGTCTGGACTTCCTGTTAGCAGCTTAAACTAATCTGGACTTCCTGTCGGCAGCTTAAGCTAGTCTGGACTGTTAGCCAGCTTGATAATTCCTATGAAAATTAAAACCTGAGCATTTGTGGAGGTTTGTTCGGTTCTTCTCAAACACTAAGTATAAAACCTGCCCGAAAATGATGAGGAGGCGTAGACCCCTCCCCCCTGAGCAAAGGTGGGCTTTTAGTTTGTTCCAACACTGACCCAGTCCACAATCCCTCACAGCAGCAATGTGCCCAGTTAGATGGAGTGGGTCGCGCCAGCGCTTCAGAAGTACCTGTTCAGTAGTATGGTCCATTGTTCTCGTAGCCGGCGTAGCTTGGCCAATCAGGGAACAGCCCATGTGAGCAGGTGGGACTGCCATAGCGATCAAAGTGGATCCCAAAGTGGGAGGAGTCCGAGTGGCCAACTCCCTTCATATAAGACCAAACAATCCGGTAGTTCCTGCCTTGGTTGCTGTCCCAGTGCTCGACCCCGCCCACCCTGTAGCAGACCGCAAACTCAACGTTTTCGTTGGGCCTCAGCTTGGTGGGAAGAGGAACATCAAAGGAGAAGGTGTCACAGTATGAGCTTGGGTACGAGTCCTTCACATACTCACATCCAACATCTGAGTGACTCCTCCACGAGTTGAAGGTCACCCGCAGCGTTACGGACTTCTCGAATGAAACGTTCTTGACTTTGATGGTTCCTGCAAAGGCCTTCTCCTTCAGCATGCAGTGCTCCAAGCTCACCAAGTTCTTCTCCAGATTCTGACGGAACAGAAGGTAGTCTGAAGAAGGCTGGATGAAGTCCAGGACCAGTTTGTTCTCCTCGCTGGACGCCAGTGTGTGTTTGGAGCTCAACATCCTCTCGATGTTGATGGGGATTCTGATTGGGTCCGTGAACTTGGAGAAGACCTTAACCCTGGTCAGAGCCAGACCCTTGTGGTCAGCGAACGTCACATGTTTCTTTGCCTTCTTTGCGTCTTTCATGTTGGTGGCTCCATCCTCTGTCTTGGTCTGGTTTACCAGGTTGGTGGGCTGGAACCGGAGACAGGAGGTCCGGGTCTCCGTCTGGGCTTTGGAGGTGGTGGGGAAGATGTACTCCTCCTTGGAGAGGTAGAAGGGAATGGTCACGTCCATCGGCATGTTGGGCTCAGGTTGATGCATGCAGATACTTCTGAAACAGACAAATATCGGACGGTTAGGACAGGTCAGAAACCCAAAACATCTGGATGCTCGGGTTTCGCCTCTAGTACAGGTGATGGCCACCATCCACCTTTTTCCCAATATCAATTCAGTTTATTTATATAAACCAAATCACAACAAGATTTGTCTCGAAGCACTTCACAAGGTAAACACTCAAACTCAGCGTGTCCCAACCCTGATCTCAGGGACCACTGTCCTGCATGTTTCCATGTCTCTGCTTCAGCACACCTGGTTTACATCGGCTCCTCAGGACATCGAGTGCTGCAGATGCCTGTTAATCACTCATTCATTTGAGTCGAGTGTGTGGCAGCAGGAAACGCGGGTGTTTAAAAGGGTGAGGAACACTGATCTAACTGAACCTACTTATCAGTGCACCGAGTTCAGTTCATTATAACAGTTAAAGGTTTCTTATACAAGAAAACCCAGCAGATTGCATCAAGTCACTGACTTGTGTCAGAAACTTTACACCAATTCCCACTTTAATCA